AGGCTCGGGGTTAAATTACATGAGTGGATCTCATCTCATATCATGGCATGACATGTTGATTCCAACATTGATTTGCATAAATATTGGTCAGAATGATTGTGTTGGAAAATGTCGTATATGAACATTGCATATGCACTTAGGTTGGGGAGTAGCCTCTGTAGAAAATATTCTACTGGGCGTTGGCTCACCCTGTACAGGAACACATTTCAGGTGCGGGATTCAAACCGATGAAGGACTCACATTCGGGGCCTCAAAGATGAAGAAAAGCCGGTTTGTGGCTTTTGAAAACAAGCTTTGTAAAAACTTTGGTTAAATGTTATTTTGACATGTAAATTATGTAAAGGCATGTAATAGAACTTGTATAAATCATGGATATTGTAGAAAATATCCTTATACGTGTTTTGGATGAAAAATGTAGGTTTTGGAATGGGTTAAAATTGACAACAAGTGAATTGGGCAAAACTGGACAAAGTGTACCGGTACTGCGTACTGGTACAGTCTGCCCAGAAGGAAAAGCGTACTGGTACTGTCTGTCTAGAAGGCAAACCGTACTGGTACACAGTACCGGTACTGTCTCCTAAAATCTAAAATTTTTAAATTATTTTGCCATACTTTTGGGCTTTGTTTTCCTTGGTTCCAATGATACAAATAGACATTAAATAAGGTATATTGGACCTCCGTTGAATTAAATAATTAAAGAAACATGGGTTATATGGGTAAGCTATGATCCCGATTATAGGGATGTGATAGACGTGATGTCGAGCCACGCGACATTCACGGGTATTTTCGTGGGTTGACGGATGGTCAACAGAACCCCCGGTTCTAGGGGCGTCACATTTTTAGCTATCGCATAGTCATGAAGAGTGAATAGTTTCTCATTCACTCTTTAGTAAAAAGTGATGAACGTGTATAAATGATTCAGAAGTTATTTTTGTGCATTTTATTTATGCTTAAAGCTTTATATTTTGATTACTTATTGAATGATTGAATGCATCTAACAAAACTAAGGTACTTTGTACAATCATGAGTCCTTTTTAAGACAAGATGACTCTTGAAAAAGGAGGATTCATTGGTTCTTTGCAAGTACTCCAGCTAGATTTTCATGACTTCATTTCAATCTTTACTATTATTGTGCTTCAACTAAGAATGGAATAATATCACAGTGGTTGGATGACTTGTTGAATTACTTACTTGTCTATAGACGGGTTGAGTCCCGACACTAACAATTCTTTCAAATCTTGACAAAGACAGTGGAACCATACTCTTAATTCTCACAAGTCCATCTTTATCCTCCAATTAACTTGTTGTTGACATAGGGGTTAACTGTGTTCTTAAGTAGAAATATAACAACAGGATGATTAACTACATGTCCAGATACTCAAGCTATAGGGTGACTCATTCATTTGAGAGAAAATTATATTCTTTCCAAAATTTCCAAGAGAACATTATATTTTGTCTAGAAAATCCCATAAACATCATAACTTCAAATCTCAAGGGTTTTAGTCACTTTGGTCTCTTTCTTTATTTACTCCAAAACACCAACAGTAGTTTCTAGTGGATTTGACTCCGGACTTAACCGAATTATAACAACAACTTGGTCACCTACACTTGGGTGTACACATTTCGGATCAAGTTAGCTGCCCCCGGTGACTTCTGCCTCTGAACCCTTCTCTGATGCCTATAAATAGCCTCATTCAGTCAATTTTTAGGGAAACTTTGCCAGAAAAGAAATCCAAAGTCAGAGAGAAGGAAAACCTGCCCTAAACACTTTCCAAGACAGAAACTCTCTCCTTCTATATTTCTTTTTCATCCTTTCTACTTGGAAGGTTGAACCTCTGTCACTTTTGTGTCCTATCTGGTAATAAGAGTGGTAGTGTTTCAACTATTCTTTGGGAAAGGACTTATTGTATTTTGTTTTCTATTGTAATGAGATTATCTCATCCTTCTTGCTTATCTATAGCAATGAACTGTGAGTAGTCCATTTATACTCTTTAGTGAAGGTTGAAAACATGTTTAATGTTGTTTGTGTTATGGAAATACCAATGTTTTATTTATGCATTAATATTTATACCTCCCTTAATTGATAGATGGTTATTATTACTATATGCTAATGGTTATGAACATCGAACAAAGCTTACTATTGTATACCATTCTATATATAAGTTATTACGTACTTCATGCATAATGCAATGATGCACATAGTTGTGTTTTATGTAACAGTCGGGAGATTGGTTATAGAGGGGTTAAATCTTGTCATAGCTAATGCTTTTGATTCAATGCATAAATCAAAAATCTGTCTTCATTGAATCATTGATCTACCGATCAAATAGGTAAAGTAAACTTTTTGAATGGTTTACCTTCGGGTTTATTAGGGTTATTTGGTTGATGTGTGGTGCATAGACCTTCCACCCAATTTAATTAGTTGTTGTGATATGGTTCAGTTTATACATCAAGCTTACCGGTTAACTTTCCAATAAATGGGAGTTAATTGTTGTAAGTTGGCATTTTCATAATCAAGCAATGAAATACATGTTGGATCCCCAAACTAAAGGGTAGTTTTTTAATTAATTTTATCAAAAGTTTAGCTTAAGTATTTGTCTGTCAATTCTAAGTTTTCACCATAAGCCATGGAAAGCAAATTCCGTGTATGAAAATCTTACATTTTCTATTTTTGAATTCCAATAGATAGCTCCCTGTGGATTCAACCTCAGACTTAACTGAGTAATACTATAATTTGACCACGTATACTTAGGTGTATGATTTAAATTAGGTCAATGGTGATAATGGAGATGGTGCAACTACAAGATTTGCTTGATTGGAGACTATTAGAACATGTATTTGTAATTGAATATAATAAGTAATGGCAGAGCACATTTTTGTAATGGATATTTTAAAATTTGGTGAAAAAGTATTTGGTTATTCATAAGGTTGTTTCCCCATACCACACACAAATTAGTGGTGAGGCTGAACTGGCCAATAAAAAGATGAAATAGATTTTGTAGAAGACAGTGAATCCGGATCACAAAGATTGGTCATTACGATTAGTTGATACACTTTGGGCTTACCATATCACTTATAAAATAATTTTAGACATGTCTCCTTATAGGCTAATGTATGTCAACCCCTGTCACCTACCTATGAAATAAGAGCATAAGTCAAATTTTTCAATCAAGACACAAAATTTTGATTTGGAAAAAGTAGGGTTATTTAGGAAGTTGCAAATAATGATTTGGAAGAATTGAGGAATAAGAACTAATTTTTCATGCCAGTGACAACCGCCCTCTCACCACTCTTTGACGGCTCAAATGGTAGTTCGTGAAGTTGTGTTTACTTGGACCCTAAGACAAACGTAAAAATTTCGAACCTATATAAAGGGTTAGTCTACCCAAGTGAGGATAAATCTTTTGTAAGTCTATTTTTTTCCTCTTACACATTTAGAGTGCTTAGAACAACCCTAGATCCCTAAATCCCCAAAGGCCAATCCATCTTGATTCTTCTATTCAACCTCATACCTTGGAGAAGATATAGTTTGGAGCTCAACAAAACTTAGATTTGTGTTTGCATATCGAAAATTTTGGATGTGTCCTAGAATATTGCTCAAGGGGTTTGGATGGTCGCATCCAAGTGAAGCTACTCACAATTTCGGTGGGTGATATCAAGATGAGAGATGTACACCGAAAATGAGCATTTAATCATGGGAATTGGTTGAGTTATAAGACTCAAGTACTTTTAAATTGACTTTGGTTTAGTAGATTAGGATATAGGTAAACTGGGTATCATTTCTGCAATTTTTTTTAGGAGGATTGCCATGTCAACAAATTACTTGTGTTGTAGATGACTTTTATTGCTTTACTTTTCATACAAACTTGCAGTATCACGCACATGCACAATTTGTTTGGTGGAATACTTTTTAGATTCTCTATTTGACATATTCATTGGTTGGAATTGAGCTTCTTGGAGAGATTGGATTAATTGATTGGAATGTTGGGCTGGTTGTAAACATATATACTTTGTATTCATTCATTCAAAAGAGGTTGTTCTTATGGGTAAAAGGGGTTCAAAGGTCCAATTGATAAATTGATTATTTAACTTGGTAATTGATCAGGTCGATTATGTTTTTAATTGGTGATTGTTCAAATGATAATTTTAATCAACCTATTCATCCTCTCTAAGTTGTGTCTAACAATTCAACGTATATAATCATGAGAGAAGATCCACTAAAATATCTCCCTCTCAAAAAAACTTTGCGGACCATGCTGGCACAACAACTTAAATTTGTGAGTGAAACGTTTTTAAATTCAAATTATGATTTCAGACTTTATAACTCTCCATAAAGACTATAGAAAAGAGAAGAGGGACATAGAGCTCACAAGCCTACACATACATAAAGGTGTGTAAAATGTCAACATCTCAATGACAAGTATAGATAGACGGCTGCGATAACAAACAGTTGGCACCATAAAAAACTAGAAAACAAGTAACTAGTTATAAGGCTACAATACTTAAAAAGTTATTTTTTTGTATTCTATTAAAAAATTTTGATGTTCAAGCATAAAATTTTATTGTGTTATTTGTAGTCATTGATAATAAAAATAATTAAATATAATAAAGAAACATAGTAAAACGACTTGTCAAATATCATGTTTTGATTATGTTAAAAAAACCGAAATTTATTTTTGTGATACCAAATCCTAAGTAGCTGTTTGCACAAAGGTACTCAAAAATTAAAACTAAACCTAAAAAATGTTTTGGAATGCGACGAAAGTTGGGAACAATATTTGAATAGCCGGCTCGAACAGCTCAGTCTTAAGAGGACCTCGTCAAGTTCGCCACCAACCATTTGTCCCTTTCTTTACTTCCAACCTGCATTGCCTGGACCTTTGTTCTTACCATTTCATACTCATTTTTCTCTGATTCCCCATATTAGAGGTCTCTTCCCAAAACCCTCATACAACAAAAACCCACTTATTTGGTGCATTGTTTAATCTCTCAAATCCACCATGGCTCGAAGGACACCACCTTACTGGCTTCTCGTGGTTCAATTCATGTTAACGTGTAATATCACAGCATCAGGTACATCCGAGGCCGAAACACTTCTCATGTTCAAGCAGTCTCTCTCCAACACCACCGCGCTTGATAACTGGAACGAGTCGGCCAGCCTATGCAATGGTGACAACCCGAATTGGAACGGTTTGCTTTGCTCAAACGGGACATTCTATGGACTGAAACTCGAAGCCATGGGGTTAACCGGTTTAATCGACTTGGACACTCTCGCTGAGTTACCATCCTTGCGTACAATAAGCTTCATGAACAATAGGTTTGAGGGTCCAATGCCTAAAGTAAACAAACTTGGTGCATTGAGAGGGGTTTATTTGTCAAATAATAACTTTTCTGGGGAAATTCCAAATGATAATTTTGCTGGGATGAAATCAATGAGGAGAGTTTATTTAGCAGACAACCAATTTACTGGTAAAATTCCCGTTTCTCTGGCGGAATTGCCTAAGCTTGTGGACCTGGAGCTTCAGAATAATCAGTTTGAAGGACAGATACCAGATTTTCGGCAGAAAGATTTAGTAGTAAACGTAGCAAACAACAGACTGGAAGGACCCATACCAGCAGCCTTAAGCAATGGGACTGCAAGTTCATTCGTGGGTAAGTCTTCTATGATTCTTCTCTGGACACCGAAATATTCATTTTTATCTATAATGAATTGAATCGAGTTGATCACGAAAACTACCAAAAGCAATAAAAATGAAGTGGTGAGGACTACGTATATATTATTCATTTTTTTTTTAAACTGGTGTATTACTCATATTAAATCCAACAAGTTTTAGCATGGCTATAAATCACTTGAAAGTACGTAACTCTCATCCTTTATGTTAGCTTGGAATTGATTGCCTGAAAGATAGTTACTAAACTTGCTAGATGCGGAATTAACTTTGAGGATTTTATATTCAGCAAAAATTGATCTAGGAAAGTTTTGATAGCCTTGAGAGAACTGTTACTATAATATGACCGATAAAGTAAAGTAATTAGCAAGCAATGTTTTCCTTCCTTGGAGTTGAATTAAATATTTTTATTATGTAGAGACTGCTTCGTTTTTATTGCATAATTTTCTAAATTACAAATTAAAAAGTTTGCCCTTAGCATGATCGATAGTGTCACCCAGAAGTGGTTTACTTCTTTCCGACTCTTATGAGACATTATTATAAATGGTAAGGTCATCTTAATGGTGCACTATTCNATTTTTATTATGTAGAGACTGCTTCGTTTTTATTGCATAATTTTCTAAATTACAAATTAAAAAGTTTGCCCCTAGCATGATCGATAGTGTCACCCAGAAGTGGTTTACTTCTTTCCGACTCTTATGAGACATTATTATAAATGGTAAGGTCATCTTAATGGTGCACTGACATAAAAATGAGAAAATTTGGCACAAATAGAAAAAAGGAATTTCGAATAATATTGGTTGCATCATTAATCAACAGCCTTTAGCTGAGTAGGCCACCATTAATTTACTTTGATGGTTCAAAAGTCACGGCTTTAATCCTTGCATGTACCACATCATATTTGAACATTGAGTTTTTCATATTTATTATTTTATCCTTACACAACTCCCGTATCATGTATTTAATCCATATTTTTATAATGCAAATTTAAATCAAGTTAAGGAATACAGGCTTTTAGAATACAAAATATCACACCAAGAAAATGTGTACAAATTGAGCATTCCATATACATAATTTTAAACAAACATTCAACCTGGTTTTCTATTCTGTGACTGCATGTGTTCGCTAAGATCGTTGCAAAGTATAGGATAGGTTTTAGAAGATTGAATTGTAGTTGCTGAGTACTGGTGGTTATGTCAGTGCTAAAAGAGTGCCTAATATCAATTGACATTCCAAAATATACCACAAACTGTTGAAGGAACGCTAACTCTAAATTCTATCACCCAATGTCATGATTTTGTCATCAAAATAGTATCTAGTCCTTATATGGTTAGGCATCGGCCATTCTATTGCCGGTCACCCAGGATATGAGGTGCTACTGGAGGTCAAAAGACAAAGGCTAATAGTTGTGCCAAATGGAGGTGAATGGGCATAGATTTGGTATTCATCAGTCTAGTTTAATCTTCCACAAAATTACAAATTGATCAACCATTTCTATGCGAACACATGGCGACAAACACATGGAACAAGTTCCAAAAATTCAAAATTCCAAACAAAAAATAAATAAAAGAAAAAATAAAAATAGATAACCAGTCTGTATTAAGTAAAGGATATGGTTTTCTGTAATGGTGTGCACGTTCGTCATGAACCATTGGTTGCAAAAATCAAACGTTTGATTATGGTTTGCCTCTCAACAGTTGACCGGCATAACCTACGTGATCTTTTTGCTTTTCTTTTTAAATATGTCCAACATGATCAACCTATTATCTTTATTTGCCTTGACGAAGATTGTACATTTTCCTTTCTCTAATTCTCCTCCTTAATAATATTTGCCCAAATGCAACCTAAAAGAAGGTGAATTACATTTCTAACTTTCTAGCTTCTCTTTTTATATACAATTTTACTGTTTGTAAAATTGTTTACTAGAGGAGTGGGTGAAGCTTCAAGTTATATGCAATATATGATGATGTATTAGCAAATATATAAAAAAAAAAAAAGGAGAGTAGAGAGAAGGAAAGTAAACACGATTTATAGAGGTTCAGCCCAACAAACTTGGCCTACTTCCTCTCTTCAACCTCCCCATTGGAGATTGTTTTCACTAACTTGATTCTTTTCAATGAATGAGAGTCAAACATTTACAATCTTATTCTTCATAATATAAATAAAGTCTTCCACTTTAGCTTACTTCAAGAAGTATAAACAACACACACTCTCAATACAAGAATCTTCTAAAGCACAATAGAGAAAAATAAAGAGAATAAAAGGTTCTATGGAATCACTATTGCAAGATCAAGACAAATGAAGCACTCTTCTCTTTTGTTTTTGCTCAAATGTCAAAGGCCAAAAAATACTTTTCATAGTCATTGTCCTTCTATTTGTACATTGGGTGTCTTAAATAAAGGAATGTACACTTAGTTTTGAAATCCAGTCAAGATCCGAATGGGTCCCTCACTTTTGGATCTGGTTCCAAGTATCGGATGCCCGGAAGGTCCTTTTGTTCCAACTTTACTCCAAGTCCTTTATGTCATGATTTTCCAGAAAGTTTGCCAAGTCTTATGGTGTTTACTCTAGAATTCGAAGGGCTTGTCTGGAATTCCGAAGCGCGAATTCGGCCATGAGGATGACCCTTTTGCCTTCTCCCCTTCCTTGCCTTTCCTCATGACTCATTTGGATTTTCGATAGGTGCCACTGGTAGTCCAGACTATACTACTGTAGCATGAGGAGTTGAGAAGGTGCTGTAGCTCCATGTGTTGTATTCCACATTGACTCGGGATAGGGAGGGACTGGATCATTTATGTGTTGTGCTCTTCGTTAATTGTGATGAGCCATTTTCTAAGAAAAAGTCCTAGAGGAACAAAATCGTGAGGGTGTATGGGCTCCCAAAGCGAACAATATCTTAAAAATTGGGGTGAGTCATTACAGGTGATATCAGAGCCGACTCTCCTACAATTAGTGGGGGGTGGATCCTATGTGGGTCTCGCCAGGACACATGACCTCTAAGGGGGGTGAAGTGTAGTATCTTGCCAACAAGCTTTGCAAGATGAGGAGGTGCTGCAGCTCCATCTGTTGCATCCAACATCGACTCAGGAGGGTGAGTGACTGAGCTATTTATGTGGTGTGTTCATTCTTAATTGTCAAGAGGCATTTTTTAGGTTAAAGTTCTAGAGGAACAAAACTGTCAAGATGTATGGGCACCTAAAGCGGACAATATCTTGACAACTGAGACAGGTCATTACACTTCATCTGGGAACTTCTAGAGTTTTGGAAGACCAATCTGCCTCATTTCCTACTCTAGCCTTTTGTCTTCATTCTTTCACCCCTTTTGCTTTTCTTCTTTATCAACTACGATTGACACTCATATGTACTCCTACATGCATTCAGCTTGACCTCAAATGTGGTAAAATATAAAACTGACTCCCAAGTGCAAGAATTTATCGAATAGTAACTTGGTTAATTACTGAAATCGTCTCCTCAGAGAAAATGCAAGCAACTCAAATGGTGATATAAAGAAAGAAAAATAAAAGCCCTTAAATTTTAAAAAAGTGTTGCGACTATTGAATAAACTAAGAAACAATATTTCAAAAAAAGGGTAATCATCATAGTTCATCGCACTGTAACTAGAAATTTTGACCTAATCTTACAAGTCATCAAAAATTGTAATCAAATACACTTGGACAGAAAATATTCAACTAAAAATCCAAATATGAAAAATATGTATTTTAATTGATTGAATTAATTTATGAAAAAATTATAGTCATGTTTATTTTAGCAATTCCATGAATTACCCGTGACAAACCTAATTTTCTATGGATAAGTAAATAGATATGCATATCAACTATGTTTTCAAAAAAAAATTCTTCATCAATAAAATAACTTTAAACATTGAAAACCCTAGTTAGGTCAAAAGCACCTATTCACGGATGAGAATCCCTTATTCGATTACACCGAAATTGAACTACTCACTCATATCGGAAGCAGAATCAAAGACAACTAGAGAAGGCATGATAAATGAAAGAAAAACTTATTTGTATTGAAATCAACAATAAAAACCAAATATCTGTATTGAAGACAAAAATCGTAAACGATTGCAATAAATCGAAATCAAAGTACTTGCTTGTAGTAAATTAATAAATAATTGAGAGAAATACGACACTTTGTAAATGAAAAAAAGGAAAACTAGAACTGGTGAAGTGAAAAACTCTAAAACCCTAGCTGCTAAGCATTGGAAGAGAAAGAGAGAAAATGTGTAAAAATTAATAAAGGAATCAATCTTTTCTCCTCTCTCCAAATGTGTTTCTTATAGGGATAGATTAGCTAACTTCATTTACTTGTTTTTCTCTTCTTTTCCCACCAATTAGAGCCTCTTAAGATATCCTAAAAATCCCCAACTGATAGACTTCCCAAAGGAGTGCTTGCTGAAATCTAACTCTAATGAACTGATATAAAACACCCTCGACCTATCGGTTGGAAAGTTTATGCTCTTATTTACCAGTTTATGCTCTTATGAACCGATATGCTCTGTCTCTTTTCCGAACTAGAAGAAGAGGATTGACCCTCTTTCTTCTTGTCTTTAGCACCCGTTTCTCGGATGTTCCGGGCATCCTCAACTTCTGTCTCAATGGTCATAGCTATTGTGACCATCGAATCCAAGTTTTGTAGGCAGTGGCCCACAATTTTACTCCGGATGAACAATTTCAAACCATCCTCAAACTTCCTCACTTTGGTCATATCTATGGCCACGTAGTCATCAGCGAAACGGGTTAACTCAGTGAACTTAGCCACGTATTCCAACACTGTCATTGTCCCTTGCCTCAAATTCAAGAATTCCTGGGCCTTTGCATATTGAGTAGCCTCTAGGAAATATTTATCCATGAAGAGCTCCTAGAACTATCCCCATGTCATTTCCTCCAAGTTCTTGGAGTCCTTTGCCCACTCCCACCACAATTGGACTTCTCCCTCTAGTTGGAATGCAGCTAGCCTTATTTTTTTGGCATCAAAAGTGATCTCCATTGCCTCTAAAATCTTATCAACCTGTCGGAACCAATGGTTGGCTACCATCGGATCCGCCCCTCCCTTAAAAATTGGAGGTTTGTGTGTCTTGAACCTCTGGAGGTTACTTGAGCATCCTTGTCCCACACTTGCACTAGCCTGTGCAATGGTAGCAACTGCAGCACTAGTCTGTGCAATGGTAGCAGCCGTCATACCAATAGCCTCCACGAAGGCTTGATGGTCAAAGGCTAGTGGTGGTTCTTCCTCTACTAGTCATCTACACATATGCCAGATAACAATAGAGTACCAATTTAGCATCCCAAAGTAGGGACTAACTTTGAACTCTGAGATTTATCTCCCTGTCTCTGTAGTAGAGCTTATGTCATCCACTAGTAGACCTTTACACCTTGACCTATCTTGTTCCCTTGTTTTCTGACTCACAAGGTTATGTTTTATAATCCTAGTGTCACTTTTCCATATACATTTTACCATATATATCATTCACATAACACATAACACATAACATATAGCACGTAGCATTTAAGCACATAATCATGAATGCACAATGCATGCAATGGTCTAGACCCATGTCCAACTGCCCTAGGTAAATCATATACCTATGCTTCTGATACCAGACTGTGACACCCCTAAAAATCGGGGGTCCTTTTTCAACCATTGACCACCCGTCAACCCGCGAAAATACCCGTGATTGTCTCATAACTCGACATCACGTCTATCACATCCCCTTAACCGGGATTACAACCCACATGTTTAACTCGTGTGTGTTTCACCATTTGGCCCAATTAAGGTCCAATATACAACAATTTATACTCATTTGATTTTCATTTATATTATTGGAACCAAAAAACACATAGCCTAAAAGCATGGTATTGCATTATTAAAATTTCATATATTTTTGATAAAGCTACCGGTAGGTTTTTATGGACCTACCAGTAGGTTTTGTTCACTGAAAAAGTTCTACCGGTAGGTTTTACTTACTAAAAAAATTCTACCGGTAGGTTAATGTTCTATCGACAGGTTTTTAAGTTCTATCGGTAAGTATCGACCTCTGGACAACACCTATATGTACTAGTTCTACCGGTAGGTTTATGTTCTACCGTTAGGTTTTGCCCAGAAATGTTTGTTTCACCTGTTTTTCATTTTCCAATCCATTCCAACACCATCCAAAACATGCTTAATAAGGTTTTTCACATAGAACTCTATATATACAAGATCTATTACAATTAATTTCATATGATTACAAGCCCAAAATATACTTTTCACCAAATTTATACAATGGTTTTACAAAAATGAATTTAAGGCTACAAGTCGGCCTTTCCTCGTCACTGGGGCCCCAAATGCGAGCCATCCGTCGGTATGCATCCCGTACCTGAAACGTTTTCCCGTATAGGGTGAGCTATGTCCAGTAGAGTATTTCCTCTCGAG